CAAAAGAGGGCAAAATGCCGCGGAAATCGACTTGCCTGCAGTTGTTATTTCTGCTGACTCCAACTGACACACCATTTCTGAACACACTTACTTATATGTACATTGCTTTCCATACTACATTTCCATGCTTTTTCTAAGGCTTTCTTAGGTTCCTTTGCTTATTAACAAAATAATCTTTGCTTTCATATTACCTGTTGATTTATGATTGAAAAATGCATGTTATTTCAGCCAGCAGAAAGGCGAAAATATTAATCATATTCCAGTACCGGAATATTCATCATCTTTTGCAGTAGCCTAGCTGGATTACCCTTCCAATTCTAGGGCATCTTTATCTGAGCTTCCATTTCGCTTTCGCTCGGTTTTCCCTTTTCCAATTCTAGGGTATCTCCCTCTGAGTTTCCACATTGCTTTCGTTCTGTTTTCCCTCGCCAAACCTAATAAATTTTGCATTGTGCGCGGCGTTTGGTTGAGCGCCGCAGTTACCTGAATTCAGATATTGCCTTCCGGACATACAACTTGGCAGAAACCGAGGCTGCGGTCCTTTCCCCAACCCCCCATTCGAATCCTTAATATTCCCTTGTTGGCTGACCCTGCGAAAGCGTCTTATGGCTTGCTAAATATTTTAAATGCGAAGTGCATACTGTGCAGCTCGTTTCGTATTTTATAAATTTGTGTTGTTTAAAGGGATATCATAAGCTGTCTATATGATGTTTGAATTTTTGATAGTGGGAGCGGATTTAGAAGTTTGTTGCTCGACATTTGAACTTTGTCTATCGTCCTTAAAGATGCCGAGAAAGAGCTGTGTGCAGATGTTAAGTAATTCTTTGAAGTTTCCACTTCTAGCAACTTTAGAAAAATCTCATTATTCAACCACAGTGCTCTTGACCTATGGCTTCCACTTGGCCTGGGTGCATCCAACTCCTCCATGTCACTAGACAAAACAGATAAATGACTTTATTTGTTGAGTTTGCTCTTGCTGCAACATCCCTACCCGTAATCCTACACCACTCGAGAAGTCAAGTGGCGAGGACCAACTGCTGAGCTGGGATGAGCCCTTCTATGGATTCAATGGGGGAGCAAGGAGCTTGGCGGCTGAGTCGAGCGGCTTTTAGGCTAACCATCTTACTTCAAAAGAGTATGAAGCTGCTGCACAATTTGCATTGAGCCGGCAATTCACGTGTGACCACGAATTACTTATGCAGAACCCCCAAAAGAAAGTAACAGATTGGCATTTGTTTCTGACGCAGCAACAGCTTTTCAAAGTATCATCTTTGCAAGAATGTGTGAAAAGCATTTGCAAACTTAAAACTTAAACCTCCTAAGTACCAAAAAAGCGCTAAGTTGCTTTGTTTTCTTTTGAGCCTACTCTCTAGAAGCCCGAAGTACACACCTGCTAACGGGTAGCTATCTTGGGGCAGGGAGTCCTGGCTGCACTGCATCCCCAGGGCACCGTTTATTCAGCAGACGATGACGGGGAAAATGTGCAGAAAGGCACTTGGCTTTACACCGTCTACACCGTCTTTGTGTTCCTTGGCGCATCAATTTTTAAACAGACCAAATGCAGCTGAATTGCATTTTAAAGCAGACCTTAACGGTTCGTCTGCATTGCGTAGAAAATTGCCGGCGGCCTATTTAGAATACATTGTGTAGCTAACCCAAAATCCATTGTTTGCATTGCATGCGAGAGTGCTGCTTTTTGCAAGTATCCGGATTTACAAACTCGTTTTAAAACTAGTTACATAAGCTTAAATATACGCCTAAGATATTACAACACATCAATTTAACTTTCCATTCCGTTTTTGCATTAGAATATGACTAATTACATTTATTAAATATGACTAATTGTTCTTATTCCTGTTTGTTCTTTTTCAGCAATTAGCAAAATAAAATAGGTGAGTGTTTACTATTTAAGCCTTCTTTGTATCATAAACTTACGTTACGCAAGCTGATGATTAGTTTTCGTCCACAATCGCTTGGACTTTTAATTGACTGGAAAACATTTTAGTAAACATCTGTTTGAAGTAAAAATTAATATTTTTCCTAGATTAGGGTCTGTTTTGATATTTCTGGGGAGATGTAGGTTTGGGGTATGGGGGCATATTGATCAGAAATACGTGCCAAATTTAAAATAACTAAAGTAGAAAACTTTTGACGCCGACAGGAAAACAAAAAGCTCTATGCCAATTTCGCTGGTTCGGGCAAGGTAACAGGAATATTTGGATTATCCGGCAGCAAACATAAAGACATCCAATTTAGTTAGCTGTCCTCGTTAATCACCGCCGTCAGTTTGTCGTCATGCTTTGTTTTGTTGAGCCCGGCTTGTCGTTTTCATTAACCTTAATTAGCGTGTGCCGTTGACATTCGTCACTAGCCACATAAATGCAATTGCTTTACACCCGTCACAATTCCCCCGCCGCACAGCCATGATTATCAGCAACATCATCGCCAAATGAGAGTGATATTTTGTGTCACACGTTTTCCACGTCGCTCCTCAGCATTATACTCGTACTTCCCTGCCCTTCTGGAATGGCCCGAAGACCTCTTCGCCGACGTCTGATATTGACCATGGCTGGCATTTGCGGCCAACCACCCATCTCCGCCAGCCAAGCCCCTTCCATTTCGCCCAGTTGCCCATTTGCCCATTGCAACTGGCTTGGATGACTGCCATCGCCGTTTGTGTCAGCTGCAAATGAGTTTCTGGGCCGTAAACATGAAGTGGAATAGTAGAAATGTGGATACATGGTCCACCGAGTTTTGAATATTATACGTTTTATACGTCTTGAATATTTAGGCAAATCATTTTTGGTGCGATCTCGACTTGTAGGCTAGCAATCTTATGAACTCCTCGCCTCCAAATTTGGAGTTTTAAGGCGAGAACGAGTGCATATTGTACCCATAAATAATATGCCCACCAGCACTAATTACGCCTATGCCTTAAGTCGCTTTCCTCCCCAACTTGCCTTATAAGCCTTATATGCGATGTCGCTTTTGCTCCATTTACTTGCCAATGACAGTGAGCTCGAAAAGTATGTCGACCTATCGCTTACTTCACTGCCCACATGGGGAACTAGTTTTTATATACTTTTTTTATAAACGGCACTGGTCAGTAGCATTTTGTATTGGAATCGCATTGCACGTGGTGTGATCGTGTGACTTTGAACTCAATAAGTGCTAAAATACGATTTTTATGACAAGTAGCGAAACCGAACAATATTAAACTGGATTAAAATGGATAAAATGAGTGCCAGTTGTAAAAACTTTCACGTAGTTCATTTGCCAGATGGAAAAAAAGCTATTTGTGCCTTTTTCCGTTCGACTGTTTGTCACGTTTGAAGTTTGTTTGGCGTTTTTCTTTTTTCGTCGTTTTTGCTTCCTTCACTGGTATTCTTGGGATCTTGAGATCTTGGTTCTCGGTCTGGGTTTTTATGATGGTTCTTCGAATGTCTGGCCGCTTGAGGACTGCTTGTCAATAAAGTTCTTGACACCCTTTCTTCATTTGCACAGATTTCTCTCGGAATGACTTTCGGTTTACTTTTCACTGTATTGTTTTTTGCCGCATTCGAACACATTCCATGTAAATTCAATTGCTTTTTTCGCTAAGCAAAATAAAGATACTCGAACGGAAGCTAATGAATATAAGATAAGAACGAACACATTAAAGATTTAATGTAGAGAGTTCGTTAGACTTGCTGCCAGCACTTTATGACCTCAATAATTGTGCTTTAAACAACAAATGAGATTGAAATTTGAAGTTGAAAATCCTGAACTATAAAGTGGTAATTGTTGCAAATTGTGTTATAGTTCCGCTCAGTTTTTTATCTACAATGCTTTATAATTCATAATTTGCGTACTGCTGAATGAATGGCAGTCAAGAATAAAAGGCATTTGCATTCAATTTGCTGCATCAAATGCTTAATGACCGAGTGAACAAAAAGCGGCAGCGACCTTACGCAAATACACGCCCAAAGTTATGAATATTGTTCGTACCTCGAGCCGTATTTAAGTGTGCAAACAAAGGCTACCCATCTCCATCTGCCATCTGAGCGCCCCGGACTACTGGTCACCAGCCTGACCTCAGAGTTCAGTTTATGTGGCTTAATTGCTTCTGACTTTTGCTGCTTCCTTGTCTTGGCTTGTTGAACTCTCAAGGTAACAAGAAGTAGCAACATGGCCCCTTCCGCGGCCGCTATTTAATTTCCACGAAATGAAGAGGGAAAAGCGGCGAATAAAATGTCTAAGATTGCGATTATCTTTTTAATAACATCTCGAGGAAGGCGAACATTACCACAAAAAGGCGGGAAACTGGCAATGAAAAGAAACTACAAAAATCAGGAATTTAATTACCACGCACACCGATAGCGCCCAAAAATGAAGCAATAAAATCTCAGGCAACAACGGCTGGCAGTATTGGCTATTGCAAAAGTATCTAACTAGAAACATTGCCCGAATGGTAAATAAAATAAATTCATTTCTTACTACATGTTTGCTCTAGTTTCTCCGCATGCCTGCATCTCAAAAAGCATGACCCAGGTCTTTCGTACCGAAAACAAAACCCCCTAATCGTTTCAGAGTTTTGCTCTAAATGTTTTCATGGTCCCCGTAAATATGTGACAGTTATTTATTTCAAATCTCATTCGTTTGTAAATGTCGCTTCTCGAAGAAAGCCAACAAAGACACTAAGAACTGCTAAGAATAGCCAACAAATATCTACATAAAATCAAATTTATTTCAGTTTACACAACTCTTGCCAGGCCAACAAAAGCCACAACGAAATGTCATTGCTGAAATTCTGTGAGTGGCATTCATGCGCAAAAATGGTTTCAAGTAAATTAGAACTTTTCATCTTCAGTGGTCCCACCACACAGATATTGTCATTTGTGCTATTTCCGTGTCAAAATAATCCTTGCCAACCATTTAATTATGTGGTCAATTTGACTTGGTTACCTAAAGTAATCAAATATGTTGTTTCAAGTTCAATACCAAATGCGCTAAGTAACTATAACCAATATACTTTAATAAATATTTTGTTGGATGAACTGAAAGCACTGAGTAATTGAACTCCAAAATAGCCGTTCAAAGCTAGCTCCAGATTGAAAAGCTCGAAAGATTCATCAGCCCTCCGCTGTGTGAACGTGAGGCACTGGCTCCTGACCCTGCCGCTGATCCAATTGATGCGGAGGATTATTCTGAATACTGGGGTGCTGATGGGCTGCCGGCTCCTGGTCCTTCTCCTCCATCTCCAGCTCCTGCTCCTGCGGCGCGAGCGGCGTATCCAGCTGCTGCGCTTCCTCGGAGGACTCGGCATTGGGGGGATCCGGATCGCCATCACTGCTGAGCAGGGCGTAGTTCTGGGGCTTCTTCAGCAGGTAGCGGGTGTTTGGGTGCTGCCTCGTCTCGAGCTCCAGGCGATCGATCAGCCAGCCCTGTTTCTGGCTGTTTGAGGCCCAGAAATAGACGGTGCCCCTGTCCTTGGGACCTTGGACATTAAACTGCAGCTGGGCCTTGTCCTCGTCGCAGCGGTTCTTCTCGTTGGACAGATTGAAGCCCGACTCCTTGATGGGCTCGCCCAGCAGACCCACGGCCCCACTGTGCTGGCGCAGCTGCTGGATGGCCATCTGGTAGAACTCCGTCTGGCGCACACGGTCCTCCAGTCGCCAGCGCATGTAGGCCAGGCCCGAAATGGTGGCCAGGGCTCCGCAGATGCAGATGCTGCTCATGGTTCGCCTCGAGGGCAGACCGATACGCAACTTTAAGGTTGGCATGGCGGCCTCTCTTAGTCGGCAAGAAATCACTTTTAGAATTTTGTGTGTGTGTGAGGTGTCAGAGGCCTACAAATACTTGGAATGCGAAACAACTCGATGACAATGATCTCAAAGATCTCGAACTTGGAGCGCCGTTCCCACATGCAGCTATCACTGGCACTGTGATGGCACTTACCGCCGAGCCTTGAAATCTCTGCCGCTGCCTGGGATCGGCGGGCGTTGCCTCCGCATAATTGCAGTGCAACTTCCTCCTTGGCCTGGCCAACTAAATGCTGCTGGCCGGCCGAGAACCGGCGGCTTGGCTCAATTTGATAGTCACCACCCAAAAGGCGGGGACCGCAAAACGCCGTCGAGGAATCCAGAGATAGAACACAGAACTCGTTTTGTTTCTCTGGCTAGCTGTACATAGTAGTTTTCTTTTTTGGTTTGTAGGCCAAATGAGCGGCGCCATTAATGACAGCCCAGAAAGTGAGCCGTCCAGTGGATGGACCTCTAGTGGATGGACCTCATCCTTTGGCCCTTGATCGTAGGAGGGTATTAAGCAAGTAGAAAATCGAACCCGATAGTTGCACTTACATATATCTGAAATACATTTAGCACGCGAATTCTTTAGACTAATAGAGGGGCTCTCTGAATGTTACCTTATTACTTATGAATGGAAAAGTGTAAGAAAAGTATAAAAATCAGAGAAAAATATGTTACATTTGGTTGCTATTCACGGTCTCGAGTACGTATATAGCGAGTGATGGGAATGGCCAACTGCGTTCATCGATGTTTCTTGTTCATCTCATTACAGCAGTGCTATTTTTACTGGCCAGGGCCAGTGGAGTCGCTCATAGGAGCAGCCGAGAGACTAATGGGTATCCAATTAGGGAGCACATAGTTATTTAAAAATAGTTTTCCAAGAACGCACGGTATGAGAAATGCCCCCATCGCGTCGGTAATCGATACTCTTGCAACGCCTGTCACGGATGGGAACGGAATATTGCATCTGATACTGGCCAGAGTGCGGTTAATCTATCAATGCATCTTCAAGTTTGAATTTCTGCTGCGGCGAGCCGCCTGATGTTACATTTCTGGCCTAAGTGGCCTCTGGTGTGGCTGTCCTTATCGTGGAGGGATCATGAGTTACTCGGCCCCTCCGCTAGCCGGGAAATGTGACAATTTCTGTGTTCGTTTTTCAGCCTCATTAAGACCTCTCTAAGCACTGCCACTTAAAGACCATTTTGGTGCGCTTATCTTTATGGCCAAGACGGCTAGTGCGCGCCCCTTCAGCTCCCCCCATCCTGTATCTTCGACAGCAAGTATGCCATATGCTTAACATGACTTTGATGCGGCCTGAGTAAGATCTTTAATAAATCAAATTGCCTCGGTCTTCGGGAGGGGGGGATACGGGGCACTTAAAGCTAAATCTTTCTGCTTAAGTATTTCCCAGAAAGTAATTCCATGAGTTTAATAGTCGTTCGGGAAGCCCCGGGTTCTGCAGGTGTTTCTCTTGTGTAGACTTCTGTGTATTAACTCTAACTTTTCGGCATAAAAACGGAATTGAATGCAACGCATGGTTAATGAGTGAAAGATTTCCGCGCCAAAATTACTGCCCATATAAGGAAAATTGTAAGGTTGTAAGAAAATTTGTTATTATTTATGAACCTGACTCAGGAGTTTTTAATGATTACCTTCACATAGTACGCTTTATAAAGCTCTACCCGTTTTAGCAGTGAGTAATAGAATTTACAACATAAGTTAGTTGTCAAGATTAATTAATCCCCCACATAAAATTTTACATTTTCGCTGGTATGCACTGACGCACAATCCGAGAAAAGACAATTTAGCAACTGCTTAATGACATCAAACGAGTATGTGCTTTTTCTTAAATTTGTATAACCGAGCGTCAAGGTTTTTTAATTAGTTTTATGCTGAAAACGAGTAAATGATGCGCAGCATAAATTAATTGTGAGTAGGGTCGGACCCGAGCTGAATCATAAAACTGGTTGCTTGTCCTCCCAAAGATGAAATATGCAATTGAGCACAACAGTGCCGCAGTTAAGTAATTGCCTTCTTCGTTGTTGGTTATTTATTTTGTTTATTTAAATGATTTAGTCAATCCTAGGTTCTGCCCAGCGATTCCAAAACCTTCATTAGTTCAAATGGCCTTCAAGGCTCACCAGCAAAATTACCAATTTGCTTAAAATCTTAAAAGACCATCAATTATGAAAGACTACTGAAGATTCCAAAACAAAAGAGGACGGGCAGTTGTTCGTTCAATCAGGCACTTCTTCAGTCAGCCATTTCAGCGTTTACTCACTCTAGCTATTATTTTTAATAAAAACAAAATAAATATGGAAAATTGCAGGGGCATTAGCAGCCGGCGGCAAAAACTAAAAAATCGAACTACACGTCCAAAACAAGCAAAACTATAGAAAGAAGCGGCCCAGCAAACGCTGTGCGCCTGCGCAACACGCAACGCCAAAAGAAAAGCCGCTGGCGAAGGCAAAAGTCGCTTCTCGGACGTGGCTCAATTGAAGTTAAAGCCAAAGCCAAAGCCAAGGTTTCTGCCTTTGTAATTGCTTGTCTCCGCTCGGCTTCAAGTACGGCCAGCAGAAACAACAACAAACATCCAGCGACATGCGTCTGAGTAATGTTAGCGCCATAAATAGACAAGACGGACAGAAAAGTCGAGTGCGCTAGACTGGAGTGCCTCGACTACCACATACCTCTTACTCAACTAGAGAGAGTGCGAAAATTACGGTGCAGGCATGCGTGCAGCATTCTTCTCGGAGAGTCTAGCATACCCGGCACTCTGAGGGTAATTAACATGGTGATCGAAACTCGGCGGTCAAAAATGCGCAGACATGGCAACCATGGAACCAACTTGTGTGTTTAATTGCCAGTTGTAAAAATCTTTTAGGGTGGAGCTAATCATCAAGCAACAAAGGCAAAAAAAACAACTTCCCTATAAGTGAATTCAAGGCTAAACCTTTTCTCTGTACTTATATTCTTGAAGCTTAACTGGTAGAATCGATCAAGTTGAAATAGATAAAACTTTTTTTTTTTAATTTTTTCGATTAATTGAAAATTTGAAGTGCAGGCCCACTACTTATACACAAATGCTAATTCTGTGCCCATTTCGAAGGCCTAATTAAATTGTATTCCTCGTTGGAAGCTTGGCCACTCCCTTTTTCAAACAAATGGAACTCGAATTGATTACAGCAGCACATGGCACACATATGGACATGCCACCATGAGGTCAATGGAACGGGATACAGCAAAATCAGACCCCGAACCATTCTTCCGCTTGAACTATGGGATATTATCTTATATGCCTGCTGCTGGTTGCCGCCGTTTCGGTTGCTGATACTTTGCCTGCCGGAGGAGCTCGGTTTCCATCTGGGAAATGGGTGAACAATGGTCACTGATAAAGTCCAGTGAAAGAGAGCTGTTCCTAGGCACTCGTCTGTGAAGCAAAGTAGCCGGCACAAAACACCAGCGAAGCTACCAGCTACCAGCTGGATCTGTGTCTGTATCTGTATCTGTAAATGTATCTGCATCTGTGTCTGTGCCTCGGGATTTCTTTCTTTCATCATCGACTGTCAGGCAAGCGGCGGCGGGTGAATCGAAACTGCTTTCAAGAATTTTCTCCTAAGAAAATGCAACCATAACGTTTCCTGCAAGGGAGCGGTCGGCTTTTGTTGTGAAACTTATGGCAACAAGTTAATTGTTTCTTTTATGTTTATGTAATTGCCAGCTAAAGACAGCGCCGCTCGCTTTACACTTTTCTCTAACATACTTCAAGAACAAACTCTTATTGCTCTTTTAGTTTTACTATATAATATATCAGAGCGAAGGACAGCTTCAAGCGGGGCCCAAGATAAAGCTACTTGAGAGCTGTAAAAAAAATAATGCCGCTTTTAATCATTCTGCGCATTAAGCTATACTCGTATATTTTCGCATTCCATTTCTAGCATTGCTCCGGCAAGTTAAACTCGCTGACTCAGAAACTTATACACTTTAGTTAGATAGCATTTCAATTTAGAAATACACTTTTCTGGCACGCACAGAAATGGAAAAATGCATAAGCGCTAAGCTCTTTATTCAGCCTGGACTTTTCTGAAAGTGCACCAAGTGCAGGAGTGGAAGTCTGGGCACTGCCTCCTCGAGCTCTACGCGATGCAGTTGCGGATTAGATGACAGATTAGTTAAATGCGCATGAAATGAGGATCCGTTCGCGCCGTTGCCTGCTGGTCGGTTGAATCCCAGAGCCGTGGCTGCCGCGAGAACGCTTCCTACTTGGCCTTATGACCATACGGAGCCTCCTTCGCCCCCAGCACGCGTTCCTCAAATGTCTTCATTCCGTAATCAGGCGTTGGGATAAGTACGCGTAAATCGCCTCTATTAATAGGCGTTGTAATTGCCGGTTGCATGCAGGTGATTAACTGAAGGCGGCCTCAAAACGGAATTAGCACCGAAAGATGCGTAGTTGAGATACTTTTCGATTCCCGCTGGAACTCTTGCATCGCTTTGTTGCCAGAGCATTTAATTTAAACGCGCCTTTTTGTGACGTCACTTCCATTAATGAGCTCATGAAGTAACGCACTTAAGGGTCGTAAAAGTTGAACATTATAACTAAGCTCACAGGCTTTTGTATTCCTCTAGGGCTGGCATAAACAATAATTTAAATTTAGCTAATGAGCCTAATGACCTCGGCTCGCCCTTGAACTAGTTGACCGTAATTTATATAAGTGGAGCAGTCATATACCGCACAATCGGCCAATCACTCCCACCAAATAATTTCCTAATCGACTTCCTGGTGGGAGTTCATATTTTTTAACCGCAAGTATCCGAGAAACCATTGGAATTAGCTACAATTTTCACAGCCCACGTTTCTAACCGATTGTATTTCCAATTGCATTTTACCAGATACGATTTGAAGCAATCAGCTATTTATGCCCCATTACCTCTCGTTTATTAATAAACTATAAATGTGCATTCTATCACATTTGCCAGAATTTTACACCAAGATTTATTGCCATAACTATGCGAGTATGTTCTCATATTTGTTCGGTTTCCACTTCATTGATTTTTCCTTTTTTCTTTGCTGTACG